TGCCTCCACACAGGCTGCTTGCCGTCTCTGGCGTCTAAAGCCTCGGCTCCTCTTCCCCTTCCAGCAAAGTGCTGATCACACTGGCAGTACTTTATACAATGTTTCCACCCGGCTGTTGTCAATCTCCAGTTGTCTGGCGCCAGTCGTAAAGACTTAATTGGCAATTAAGCCTTTTGTTATCTCAATCTGATTGAACACCTCACCACTGTCAGCAAGTAATGGATACTTCACCAAAGTCCATAGCGGCTATTTAGCATCCTGGATGGGCAAACAGTCAATATGTCACTCAGTTCCACAGGTCGGGCAGAAAGTTCTCAACAAAATGGGTGCTTTTCCCAGATGTTCCTGTAACAGGGCAGTGTCTCCCTGTTACACACATAAACCAGTTTAAATGATCAGAAACTGGTTTAAACCTGTAACAGAACAAAAGTTCAGTGGACATAAACCAGTTTCAAAATGGCTGGGACTGGTTTAAGATAAATCTGTTTGAATGTAGTATCAGACTTAACTGATTTGGGTCAAACCAGTTTATGCAATATCTGTCCCAGACCGCTTGCTGGTTTAAGTTAAATCAGACTCCCCCAGCATCCTGGCATACTCTCTGCTTCACAGCAGGGCTGGCCCTTCCCCTTTGCTCCCTGGTTGCATCTCTGACAGAGACTTGCAGGTACAATAGCATCTTCCTGGCTTCCTCCTGCTCTCCCCTCCCTGCCTCACCGCTCCCTGACGCACAGCATTAGCTAGCAGGCCATATGCTGGCTACTGTCCGTGCTGTGGTAGACAAGAGTGTCGGCTTAGGACTTTTTGGAGTCAACAGCTGAGCTAGTAATAACCCTCCATTCCTTCTTTATTGAAGAAGAGCTTGAGCTAATGAAAGAAGTTGTTGGATTTCTGATGGGGTGATAAATGCTTCTAACAGAGCTGATAAATGCTCTGTTATCAAGGAGGGGAGGAACCCCTCCCTAATTCTGCTGGGCCTGGCCATGCCCCCCTCAATTCACTCCTGTGGAAGGGAAGGGAAGGCTGCTCTAGTGCCCCCCTGGCTTCTAGCCTGAGCCACTGCAACCATGTGCCTGCATGTTGGGTATGTCTGTACAGTTACAAACTGATTTAGCCTAGCCAGGTTAGATTAACCTGCAAAGATTGAAACAATTCAGGCTCAGGCTTTTTGAATGTCTGTCCCTAGCCAAGGTGGTCATCTACTGGTGAAATCTATTTAAAGGTAGTACAGTCATCCAAAGGAAGTAGTGGGTTTCTTACTACTTCAGACATTAACACTAGAATGAAAAAAGCATTAGGAAGCTGTTTTACCCTGTCTGCAAGATGAAAAACCAGATGGCTTTTTTGGGTCTTTTCCTTAATAACATTTGGGACATCTAACTTATGTATACCTACATATTGAATGAGTTATGCTATTTTCTCCCTGGAGGTTCAGAATGAGCAGAAGACACTTCCGATGAGGAATCAGATATATTAGCAGAACTCTGTGGAAAGACTTGGGTTCAATTTTATGAGTTCTTCTTCCTTGCAGATGCTTGACATTTTAATTCTGTTTTTTAAATAAAATACACTCCCTAGTCATTATCATCATACTTGCGTCTTGGAAGTGGATATACATGAGAACAGAGATTCTTATCTTCCGGATTACAGAGGCTGAAGAAATACTGCATACAAACTGAATGGTTTAGCAGTATTACGGAAATATGGTCCATTTTTTGCATGGATATTCTGTTACTACTTACAATTATACCTGACAAAATTTGGAAGTGGAATAGAGGAATGAGCACTATACATGATTAACTAATGGCAGAGTTGAAATTTTGCATTTTCTTAATTCTGCATCACACACTTTTAAAATTTACAAGCTAATGAGTTATTTTTAGAGATATGGAGATTTAATCTATAAAGTTCAGTTTAGAGACTGAAGATTCCCAGTGTCTGGTTTTCAGATCTAGTAGATTGGTTTGAACTATTGATTCTGATGTTGGCAATTAACATTGTAACTGGATCAACAGATTCTGAAAATGCAGGGTTGCTGTCTTGGGCCCTTTCCCTTTCCTAAAAGTCATCTTTGGCACTTTACCCCAACAGACTTATGCTCCAGAGTAGGCATAGAAAGTGAATCTATTATTCCATGGATAACAGAATTATTTACAGTGATTTGCCCAAGCCTGTGCAACAAATCCTTGGGATAGCAAGGATTAAAACCTAGGATTTCCCTCAGCAGCTGATCGTTCAGAAAACATTTGCTCAGCTGCGATATAACCTATCAGGGTAGATTGCTTAGTTGTGTCTTGGTATATTCTCTTACATATTATGGACCAGATTCTTCTCCAGCTTAAATTCTGTGTATCATATTGTGGTCACTGACATTCAGGTATTCAGGACTTTGTTTCTCATTGTACACAGTATATGTTAGGGAAAGATTTAACATCATGGTATTCCTTAAAAAAAAAAAAAAAAAAAAAAAAA